ACATTGTAAACATGAGAAGTGCAGTGCTTCTAACAGCAAAATTTGCAGACCTGAGGAGTAATAGCACAGTAAATGGCTGTGTTTCCATTTAGTTCAACAGGGCCAGGAAACCAATCCCATCTTGAAGAGTAATTATTTTACTAACCACGGACTTTGCATTCAGCATCATTAATCAAAGCAAAGGGACCTTCATTGTTCAACAACTTGCCTTAAAGGTACTGAATCATAAGATTTAAAAATACTTAGTGGTAGTATCTCTAGAGCACAGTACACCAATCATTGTCCTTATCTACTGGAAGACACTAAGCTATGGATCACACATTACAATACTGAATGTACCTAGGTCACAGCCCAGTGAAGTGTCCAGGGAGCCTCAGAGGCTCAAATGTAATTCAGGACTGCTGACAGGAATTTAACAAAAGGTAAAGGAGAAATTACTCAATGTCGCTCAGTTTAGTGCACCTCAGCTGAACAGCAAAATTGGGTGGCTGAAGCTGAAGAGCATAAACATCCCCCATTTTCTTCTCCATTGTCGTCCTTGAAGGTCTGGCTCTGCCTGGGAAAGGTGGGGCAAGACTGCAAGTTGTGAGTTGTATAGTGTTGGGGTCTGTGGGATAATGATAGCCTCTGGGGAGAATGCAGACAGAGCTGAGCCATCAGGGATGTACCTGTAACTAGCAACTCTGATTTATGGCTGCTAGTGCTAGCTCTTCTAAAGCAATTTAACAGTTCCTGGGAATACTGAATCTTCTAAAAGGTAGCACAGTCTGAACTAAATCAAGTCCCATAAGTGTCCTGTGAAAACAGGAGCTATTGTATTGACTAAAATTATCATTAACTGTCAGAAAACAGATTTTGGAGAAACATGGCAGCCCAGAACAGGCAAAATTCCCATCAAGATCAATCAGTCAGAATAAAAATTGTAGCCTCTGACTCCATGGTGAATCAGATGGGCTTTCAGGAGTAGCAGAGCCTTACACTCAGCTGAGGACTTACTCCTCCATCACAAGATGAATGCTCAAGTAACCCCAAACTCCTAGCAGCTGGAGACCTGGGAAGGAGACTGCTGAAACAGGAAAGGTCAAGGCCAGGGTACAGCTGTTTCAAGGCGTGTTCATCTCAAAATTCCCAGCACCTTTTAGTTATCACTTACTCTGTCTGCATCTTTTGGGTTGGGCTGGCTAACCAGCAGCATCGGAAGGAAAAGATGAGCCTGGATTTAGCAGAGTAGTGCGGTGTCTCTCTTAGGACAGAGAGGGCTGGGCTTAGAACTTTAGGTGTATGAAAAGCATGGAAGAGCTCAGATTCTAACCTGAGTAGAAGTCCACAGCCTGTGTTTATCTTGATTCCTTTTGTATCTAGTCAGTTTGGCACCTTAACACTTACTATAAAGAAGGACGGCAGAGCTTCACTTCCCAATGTGAAGGCTCCAGGGAGACCTTACTGCAGCCTTTCAGTACTTAAAAGGTTCTTGTAAGAAAGATGGAGAGAAACTTTTTACAAGGGCATTTAGTGATATGACAAGGGGGAATGGCTTTAAACTTAAAGAAGAGAGGCTTAGATTGGACATTCAAAGGAAGGTGAGGCACTGGCACTGCTGCCCAGAAAGCTGTGGGTGCCCCATCCCTGGGTGTGCTCAGGGCAGGGCTGGATGGGGCCCTGGGCAGCTGAGCTGCTGGGGGGCAGCCCTGTCAGCATCAGGGGATTGGAGCTGGGTGGATTTTGAGCTCCCTTTCAATTCAAGCCCTTCTTTGATTCTAATGTGTCACCTATGCTGGAAGAGATGTCTTCTCTTAACACCATTTTGTAGGTTTTTGTTTAGTTTTCTTTTTCAGTGAACAAATACAAGTTGCCACCATAAGGGCCATAAGGTTTGTTCAGGGGGCAGCCACAGCAGCAGCCACTCTGCTCAGGAACACTCTGGGACTGCTTCTTCCAAGTGCCCATAAACCAGAGTTTGAGCCTTAAAAACACCACACCACCTGGTTTGGAAAGTGTCTGTGCCAAACACTCATGAATCTGTCATATTTGCTGCACATGTAGAAAAATCAAATTTGCTTATATCAGCTTGCAATACTGCACCACATTCGTGGCTGTAGTTAATCAGTGTAGGGCAGAACTAAGGATTTTGCCTAAACAGGAGAAAATTGAGTGAGAATTAAAATGGGAGACAGCGCTCAGTATGGTGTTACCATAGATCTGAAGGTACAGTTAGAGAAGTACCTTTAGGTGGAGCTGACACCCACAGAAATTGTGCCAATGTGTAAAACGCTGCTTTCATGAAGCAGGCAAAGCTAATTGCTTTTTCCATGGCTTTTTAAGAAGTCAGATGCTAGTTAAAATCCGTGGATATGTATACATTCCTTTATATGGATAATTAGCTACTTTATGTGTGGCGCCTCCTGGATTAAAGAAAATTCTTGTATGCAAATAAGTAATAGGACAAACTGGTCAAAATTACACATGGAAAAAAATATCTCCGTTATATAAATATCTATTATTTATTTAAGCAAGTTTCTCATTTCTTAGACAAGTGCTAATTCCAAGACAGCTCCCATGTATTTAAGATGTTCACTCCTAATTGTTCTTTTAAATAATGCCTGTATACAAACACTGAAGATGAACAATAGATTTTGACTATTTGCTTAAAGAAATGAGATAAAAACACACTTTAGAAATGGCTTTTTCCACTAAATGCTCAATTCCCATCCTATTGAAATTGATGGCAAATCTGCACTGATTCAGCAGGGGCCACGTTTTCACTCCAAACTCAGTAATGAATAGATTTGATGCAAGTTACTCTGAAGATACTGCTTTAAACAGTTTCTTCTGTTCCATGGAGTAACAGAGTGGGTTGATATTTAAGAATGAAAGCTCATCAAGTTTAAATTCCAGTTGTTTTATAATAATAGCCACATGTTAGTTATAGATTATGTAAGTCTGAAGTTTTGGTAATTTAAAACTGCTTTAAAGTGACCTTTACATAGTTCCACATTTCAGCATTTTCTAGAAGTGGTTGGTATCAGTCCTTACTCATAAATCCTTACATTAAAGGAATCTGCAGGTCTGGGCCCTTCGTTAGCAGGCTTACAGTACGGAAGTCCTGCAAACATTTATATGCACGCTTAGTCTTACACATCGAGTCTTCACATTGAAATTGACATAACTGCCCTCAGTGGGCAAAATCAGGCAGGATGAAATATTAGTTTTTAAGAAAGGTCACTCTGGTTTTAATTACTGAGGACAGGATGCTAAGCAAGAGGGACCTCCAGCCTGGCCCAATGCAGTTGTTCTTACATTCTTCTTTATCTACAGGAAGGCATGATATGAGAAATATTTTTTTCCCACTGAAGGCTGGACAGGCTGGGAGGGCACACGCAGTGGCACTGTGAAGGCTGTATGCAGCCCAGCTTCATGCATCACCACTGCTTGCTGGTGCCATCCAATGACATTAAATTGCTGTACATGCAGCACATTTTCCATGTCTAAGAAAAATATCAGCCATCTAGAAGCTGGCTGTAGAGGTTCACTCTGAAACTTCCCATGAAATACTTCTGCCTCTTCAAAAGCTTCGTCTTCATGTGGCCCTGCAAATGCTTTGCTACAGGCATGCAAGTAATCCCATTTAGACGTGTAAGGAACTGGGTTGGCGCTGGTAATGCACTAAGCAGACACACGTGTGGGAATCGGAGCTTGTTTAGGTAACAAAGTATTCCTGTGATTTATTTTTTTTCTTTCTTTTCCAAAACCCCAGCTTTGGAAAAGAGGTTCAAGCGTTACGTAAATATGAGCTAATGACCTCAAGCTCTAATTCTCTTTATGGTCACCTAAAACAAAACGTTTGGTACTCTTAGAAAACGCATAAAAACCATCAGGCCGGCTACGAAAACGTGGGGCCTGATCCTCTCATTGTTCGAACCGTCTTTCGTTAGTTCGTGTGTCAGAAAAACCGCCCTGTGGAAGGAAGCCAATCCCTGCTCCGAACGCGTCGCTGCGCGGGACTGACACAAAACCGGCAGGCTGCAGCCACAGAGCGAACTGGTTTGTTGTTCGCAATTAACAATACGCGAAGGAAAAGCGATATAATAATTAGAGCCAGTCGCTTTACTTTCGGGAAAAAAATACAGCAGTGGGAAAAAACACCGCGCAGTCCAGTCGTGCCTCTGTGCTACTTATTGTTTTCTGCGCGCAAGGACGGAGGCGAGTGGCGGAAGGGCCGCGTTGAGCCGGGCGGTGCGCGCTGCTCCCGCTGGCAGAGCCGCCCCGAAGCGCTGCCCGCCTGAGCCCGGAGCCGGGGGACCTCAGCGAGGGGAAGCCCCGTTGTTTGCATTTCTGTCGCGAACACCGAGAACGCTTGATTTCTTTTATCTCTCGAGTTTTCATTATCATTTAAATTTCATTTTCCATTAATTGATCAGGGATTAGCGAAGCCATTAGGCGAGAACGAGACGAGCCAGACGCGATGAATAATTCATGACGGACGATTACATTTTGTTACCGCCGTACTTTCCAACTTCCCTCCGACTCGCGGGCTGCCGGGGGCGGCCGGACCCCGCACGGCGCCCCGGCTCCGGGGTGCGGCCCCACGCCGCCGCCGCCGCTAGGTGGCAGCAGCCGCCCGCGGAGCGCGGAGGGCCGGGGCGCCGGGCGGTCTCCCGACGCTTATCGCCGCGGCCGGGAGCGCGGTCGGCACGGGGTGGTGGTGTTGCTGTTGCTGCCGCTGCCTCCCGCCGCCCTCGTTCGCCCACCCCCCGGGTAGCGCGGCCCGCAGCGGGCGCTTCCCCCCCCCCATCCCGACCGGCGGCCCGCGCCGGGCATCTCATTTATCCCAGCGGACAGTGGTTGCCCCATTAAAGCGCGGTCCCGCCCTTCGCGAGGAGCTTTAATCTGGGGAAGTTTTATGACACTTTGTAAATGTGCAAAGTTTTTAATTAGACTCGCCAGACAGCCCGGGGCGGCACTAGCGCCACGAAGTCTTCATGCTTCTCTCTGCTTTACAGCACAACAAGCCGCTCTACTCCTTTGAAGACAATGCCGACTATGTCTACGATGTCATGTGGTCGCCAGTGCATCCCGCGCTCTTCGCCTGCGTGGACGGGATGGGGCGCCTGGATCTGTGGAACCTGAATAACGACACCGAGGTGAGGGCCGGGGGCGGCGGGGCGGGCTCTCACCCGCGCGGGGCGACGGCGCCGCCGAGCAGCCGCGGGCACCTCGGGCCCCGGGGCGACCGGCAGGACCGGGCACGGCAGGGCGAGGCGGGGCCCCCGCTCCCCCCCCGCCGCGAGGCTGCTCCGCTACCTGCGGGCTGGGGGAGGGCCGGCGGCGGCGGGCGGCGCGCGGCTGGGGAGGGCTCTGCCCCGCGCGTCCCTGCCCCGAGCGCCGCCGGGACCGCGGCCGCCGAGCGCCCCGCCTCGCCCCCAGCGCCCCGCGGAGCACGGGGGAACGCGGCTGGCCCGCGGCTTCCTGCCCTCACCTGCTTTCTTTTGCAAAGTTTGCAACGTTTGCCGTGAAACCGAAGCGCGCAGACGCAAACGAAAACGCAGGTTTTCTTATCGTCGCTGCTAACTGCAGAGCGGGGGAGAGAATGTCACGCCTTCACCTTTCTCTGATGAGAAGGGGTTCGTCGCACAGCTGTTGGCAGAGGCAGGACGGCCGGTCCCGTACAGTTCTTTGCAAAGATCGAGACTAGCAAGTCTCGTATTTTCACTGAGTCGTTTCCTAGCCGTGCTGAACACCCATCCCCACGTCCTCTTTTTATTTCAGATCAAAAACAAACAAACAAAATGCTACAGGTGTGTATTGAAAATATTTGGTCTGGATCTGCCTGTTCCCTAAAGACGGTTGTGAAAAGAGCCACCGTGTCACCCAGAGACTTAGATGACCATCAGTTAGTATTCAGAACAAGAAGGGAAATATTTTTCCAGAGCTGTAGTCTTATGTACTTCTGATTTAATGGCATGTAAGAACTGAGGAAACTTACTATTCAACAGTCCTTTCATTTCCAAAAGAGAGGAGAAGACTGGAATCAGCTGGCAGTATTTCATGACACATACCCTGTTTTCTATAATATTGTTTTTTTTCTGTCTTTGTGTGTTTTTAAGATTAGATTGTTCATTAATCCATCTTTCATATAAACATGATATACATTTCCACCAGAGCAAAGAACAGGCGGAGTTTATGGCTCCCAGTGCCTGGCGCTCGCCATAAATAAGCACGGACAGGTAAGAGGAACCAGCGCTGCGCCGACGAGGGGAGCAGCAAGGCCTTTTGAAGTGCTCGAGCAGGAAGCAGCACAGCCTCCTTAATTAGAGCGCATACAGCTGGAGGACATACAGGAGGAGTCTCCTCAGAATTTATTTTGGGAAGGGAGGGACGTATCCTTCAGGTGTTCTCATTAATGCAGGCTTAAACACAGAGCATAAAACCAAGTATTTTATAAAGAAAAAAAACCACCAAACCTTTCCCCCCAAATAGCAAGGCTGGAATCATGCTCTGCTTGAAATCAACTGATGTTTTGCCATTTAATTCAACGAGACCATAATTTTTATTTTTTTTTTTTTTTAAAAAAAAGCACAGACCGCTTGATCCCATTCCCATCAATAATAAGGTTGTACGTAGAAAAGTGCTGGTGTGTTTTCAGCATGTTTACATATAAATACATAGGAACATCAGCAAAGAAATAGAAATTAATTTCAAGCTCTATCCTGCTTCTCTTCTGTATGCAAGGCTACCCCTGAGTCCACAGATGATTTCCACTGTGAGGCTGAAATCAGCTATCCTGTGAGGCTCAGGCTGAAATTATTTCTCTGGGTTCAGAGCTTTGTGTTTTTTTATGAGAATTGAATTTGTGCCTCTGGAGGAAGAAATGCCACTGGGTTTCCTTACTGAGCACTGGTGAAGCAAATTAAAAAAGCTCTTGAAATGGTAACAGTGGCAGAACGTGAATAGGTGTGAGGTTCTGTTCTGCAGAGGAGCAGCACCACGCAACTGCAAGCGGTTCTTTGAACACTGTAACTGAAAGTGATCACTGCTTGCTTTTACCTCTATCTGGTAGGTCATCACAATTAGTTTATAATATTCAAGGTTTCTCTGGTGACTGATGCAGTGTCACTGTGCTCTGCTGCTTGATGAGAAGAACCCTGTGAACGCTTTTGTATCAGGAAACCCTGAAACACCTATTTTTGAGTTTGTTCCTACTTTTAGATGCCAGACCTGTGATGTCAAAGCATTTGTGAAGACGGTAGGAAACGGGAACTATATTAATGTGTTTAGCTGCTAACCATCGATAAAAATCTCTTTGTAAGACTGAGATACGATTGTTATTAGTGGTACCTCATTTTGTTTAATTTGGGAAATACGCCACGTTATTATTTAGGTGTTATTTTTTTAAGTCAATTAAGGAAATACCTGGGTTTAGTTACAGTACGTTACCTTCATGTTTTTGATCTGTAATGCAGCTTTACACTAGTGTTGCTCCCCAGATTTATTAAGCACTTTTCTCCCACGAACTAGATGCATCTGATCAAAATAAATGTGACCGTGCTGCAAATTTAATCAGTCCTGTTGTTCTCAAAATCGCAGTTGAGAATAACCAGGATATTCGTATGCTGCATTTTTAATCTGCGGATACCAGAAATGATTTTTGTAGCAGCAGTGCAAATCATCACATTTGATTTTTATTTGACGAATTAATATAAAAGACTTTAAAAGAAAAAAAAAATGCTTTGTATCTTCATTCTTTTGCAAACTGAATAATGCTATTTCAGCGATCGGAATGCGAGGTTTTTAGATAGCTTCAGGATAGTAAATGTTGCTGTCATACCTACATGTCCATACCATTTCTTTTTTTCATCAAGGTTGGAGAAGGTCGTTAGGCTGCTGATGAGTCTTGTTTGCCTATAAACTGGTATTAAATTGATCTATAGAATTGCTTAGTTCTCTGTGATATTACTTTGAAATGCATTCTTGCACGCCATACCTTAGCTTTGAAAGTGTGAAGTTGGTGTCTATTTCTAGGAGCAGATGGAAAATATATTTACAAGCAGGTTTTTATGTTATATAAGCAATATATTTTTTTAAAGTACACTCTTAGAATGCAGGTTCCCCTGACCATATCTTTCTTAACCTGTTACCTGTTAAATTCTTGCCTCAAAATTGTTAAAAATCTGACAAAGATCAACTTCACTGAATTTATGAAATATTTTAAATGTGACTTTAGAAACACAGTGCCATCATAAAATAAATTTGTATCTTTAAAATCTAAAATAGCCACGTGCAATTTAACCTATCACTATTCACTATTTTAAGATATGATGGCTGAACTGTATTTTCTCTCTATCACTGAGGAAGAGGGTTTTTTATTTAGATTTTTGAAGACTATTTCATGATTGCTTCTTATTTTTTTGGATGGCTCTGTAGAATATTAATAGGACTTCACAGCACGATCAGATTTGATAAAAAAAAAAACAAAAAAACAGAAAAACAAAAAAACAAAAAAACAGCCCATGGGTTGTGTCTTGTGTCTGTGGCATGCACACTGCTTCTTTTTATGTGGAACGCTGGAAGAATGCTGCATTAACAGGAACAGAGAAGTTCTAGAGCCATAGATTTCAGCCCCCTGAAAGATTTTTGTTAAAAAAGCAGTGTCCTAAGTGCACACTGTGTAGTTCGTTCGCTTGAAAGAAATATCTTTGATCTGCAGTTTTCTGAGAAACACAGCCGGCTGGTGGGTTTGCGCTCTCAAAACGTGGTGTTTTGTCATTGTTGGAAGAAACCCATTTCCAAATGTTACGAAATTAATTTTGGCTGGAATTATCTGAGCTTGTTTGTTGTTTTTTTGTAGAAATCAGCGATCGCAGAGCAAAACATGCTTGTTTTAAATGTGATTTTGTTCCAGCTCGCACGTTGCCAGTGCCCATGGCAGGGCTGCTTGGGCTGGGCCCGGCCACGCTGCAGGGAGAGCAGGCTGGCAGTGTGCATACAAAAAAACTGTATGTTTTCTTATTGTTGTCCAGCACTATTTCTACATCATCCTACAAACAAGGTCCTTTTTCATTTCTGACACAGGGCTTTGCAGCCCTTTATGGGGCAGGCGGCTGAGCTGAGAGGCACTGTGAGGTTCTGCAGGCCTTGGTTAGCTCGGTGAGGAGAAGTGGGGTCTCAGGGTGTAAAGGCACGAGACGAGCAGCATGCCAGTGTCCTGCCACTGCTGCTGCTGCAGGGACCATGTGGCCCCAGCAGAGCCTAAGGGAACCCGCAGAGGCTCAGCTCCTGGCCTTCCCTCAGCTTAAGTCACACTGAAGGCGTTGGAGCTGCAGGAGGGAGATTGGCAAGGAAGCCCAACAGTGTTTGTTTTAAAATCATTTTTCATGTGGATCACTTTCATGTGGACCTTTCTCACAACTACAGTATGAAACTACAGCTCAGGAACTGAGATGAACTCAAGAAATCTAATTTTATTTTTTGTTAATATTGTTGGTTTCTCAATTGTCAAGCATGTTTTAATGCCACCCTCATTCTGCTCATTTCCCTCTTCCTCCCACAAGCCACCTGCCCACGATAAAGACCCTGCTGATCCCTTCTGGCTCCTGTCCAGCTGCCTCTGCTTGCTTGGACTGTTCTTCAGCTCCACTTGCATGCCCTTGTCCCTGTCCCCACAGATTGATCTGCTAGAGCAGCCACTCTTGCAGCTGCTGTCCTCCCATTTGCTCTGACCTAAAAAGTGTAAAAGCCAGAAAGCCTTGCTCAGAGGCTGCCATGGTAAGCTGCAGGCTCCTTGCTCAGGCAGGTTCTCTTAAAAGAGCTGGATGGAGCATCAGAAGGCTTGCAGGTCATTGTCATTCATCTTTTGAGGTGACCTAAATCAATGGAATGATCTGTCTACGTAGGACTGACACCCACACAGTTCCTTCCTCCTGCAGCTCCTTTTGATGCCCTCATTCCTGAGTAGATTACAAATACTTCTCCTAAGACCGTGCTTGTTGCTCTATTCATCCCACATTAACCAGAATCCTTATGTATACTTGTAGATCACCTGTTCAGTTTGTTGGTTGACTTGGGGAAGGGAGGGAGTTTAGAAATTAAGCAGCATCCTTCCAGGTGTATTTAAACCGGAAGGCGGCTCCTGGGAATATAGGGATGTAAAAGAGGATTGTGGGAATATGTCGTAGGAGTTCCTAAATGTCAGCTCAGCTGTTCTTAGCCTCTGTTGTGTCCTCACCCTGCAGTGATTAGCTCAGGACTCTTAACCAGTTCCTGAGCTGCGGCCTCAGCACCCATCTATCTGCATGGACTCAAAGGGTGCGTCAGCGTGAGTGCTGGGATTTGTCTGTGGCAGTCAGGGTATTGGGGCCATGCTGAATCAGAGTGGGACTGAAGCCAAGTCCTGCCCTCTGTTGATTCTTGATCATAAATCAGTGAATTTAGAGAAAGAAGCAGATGCGGTTTTGCATGTCTCATTTACTTCCCTTTACAGTGGAAAAGTCTTCCCTACTCATTCCAAGCAATTCCTTACTCTTTTTTTTTTTTTTTTTTTTTTTTAGGCACATGTGATTGAAGAAACAATGAACTCTTCTCTTTTTTTTTTTTTTTGTCCTCCCCTTGACAAAGGACTTGTGACTCACCCAGCTAAATGGGATGTTAACAACTGACCCCTGGGTTTGCAGGCAGAGTGATTTTATTGTCCTTTCTGTTCCTATTGTTTCACCAGGTTCCCACAGCCAGTGTGACAATAGAAGGAGCTTCTGCCCTCAACCGTGTCCGCTGGGCCCAGGCTGGGAAGGAGGTAGCAGTTGGTGATTCAGAAGGCCGCATATGGATCTATGACGTTGGAGAGGTATTAATTTTATTGTTTATAATGCTCAGCTTCTGTAGTGTACCACAGCAGAGTCTGAGAAAAGATCTTGCATTGTTAGGGGCATAGGCTGTCTCCACAGAATATGCCACCGGACTTTCAGTGGAATCCTGTTAGTTCTGGACTGCCAACAGTGTGTTAGTTGTAAAACAGCCCTGCTACCTTCACTAGTGAAACTATCAAAAGGGAAGTCTTTCTTTTTTTTTAATCTTCAGTATTTTTAATGTATATATTTTTAAATGTACAATTAGAAAAATAAATGAACACAAAGAGGAAAATACAGGTGCAGAAGGAATCTGTTGTTCTGAAGTTAGCTCTGTAGGATTTACCTTTTATTTTCCAACATCTCTTATCTCGTGATTGACTTATTGTTGGAGGCTTTTCTCAGCATGACATGCACAGATTTAGTCTGTTGTTTTAGTACTGAATAATGCTGGATATGTCTGAATATGTGCAAAGGTACTAATAGGAGAAAATGAGGTGTCATTGTGGAGGACGATAGCTGCATGTGCGTTGATGAGTATGTAGGTGCTGAGAAATAGTGAGATGTGTATTCTGTGTCTAAGGCTGCTCTCAGTTCACCCTACTACATATTATAAAAGCCATCTAAACTGCAGAATGTTTGGCACTGATGGAATCTACCTCTGTTTTGATGAATAAGGTATAAAGTGTTCTGTCAGCATTACAATTCCTTGGAACAGTTAAGGGTGAATCTCTGAGCAATCGGCTTTTATGTAGAGAATTTGTTTTCCGTCATTATCTGTGATAGGATACTGAGATAGCCATCTCTACACAGTAGGGAAACATTATGGAATACATACAGAATTATCTGTAACTCTCATAAAGTGATTTTATGGCCCATAGCAAAATTGCTTGTGCATGACTCATATTTTTGGATTGCATTCACTTGTGAGGGAGTTGCCTTTCCTCACAAATGTTTGCTGAAACTTATTGCTGTATTAGCATAATTTTTAAATTGTCTATGGTTACTGCATTCAGACTTCCACTACAACACTGGCAGGTCAGGCTGTTTTTATTTATTTTTCACTGTGCGTGACTGTTCTGAAAAGGTACTTTTTTCTGTCTTTTAAGTGCTACAACAGGCTATGGAAATGTCTCTGATGACAGTGCAATCTGATCTTCTCTGAGAGTCTAGACAGGCTGCAGAAATATCTTTTTTTGCATATCATACACCAAACCATTCGTAGAGTTGTTTATCCCCTCAAGCTCACCCAGGAGAAAATAGATTTACTGTTATTGTGCAGAAGAAGTAATATTTAAGTTTTTGGCCTTTTCCTCTGTATAATCAGAATTCAGCTTGCAAAATGAGTCATAGTGACCAAGCTCAGATCTAAAAGAAAGATAGCTTTCTATTACTTGAAAAGGAAGAATAAAATAGCATGAGTCTAGATCAGTTAGAATTAAGAGTAATGTGTTCTGTTATGGATCTTGCATGCTCTGCTAATGTGGAGCCCCAGAGTCTCCATCTCAGCTCCGTATATACTCACACATACGGATGGATGTCCATCCACATAGCAGGTCATGGGTCAGTGTCACTCCTCCTTTTTTGTAATGAAGTATTCATTAATTTGTTGCATATTTCTTTTTGGCAGTATCAGTGTGCAATAATTCCTGCTTCAGATGTTACCAGGGCTGTTGTGTTGTTAGTGACTTTTTCTGATTTTAAAAAGAAGGATGCTCAACTATTCTCCCACATAACTCTTGTTGCTATAAAGCCTTAAGTAAGGTGCAGAAATATTTTGCAGTTTGAGAGTGTGGAACTGAGGACTATTGCATTGAATAGAAGCCTCTTCACTTATTTAACCCTCTGTGTGAGTTCATAAAGAGCTCTGATGAGTTATTTCATGGTTAGCTGTCATCAGCAAGAAGCACAGTGAATTCATAACAAGTCTTGTACTTTTGGCAATGTCTGACAGAAATATGACAGCCGTATAAGCTCCTTTTTTACTTCATTGTGCAGGCACCGGTCAGTTTCTTCACTCAGGTGAAGAATCCTCCTTTGGCTTCCTTTTTGTACAAGTTTGATTCAGATACAACCGTGCTGGTCCAGTAGTTAAGAAGGGACAGTTGTACTCCCCCTGTCAGCCAGTCATCCTTAGCATATCCTGTGCTGGTAGTAGTAATATTTGTGAACCCACATAGTTATGAGGGAACTAAATCAGCAGAGAAGAGTGGATTTGTGTTGTTTTGTGGAGGTGTTTTGTTCTGTGGACTAATATGAGAGCACATAAAGCATCAATGACGGTGCAAGGAAGCGATGCAAGCATGTGGCTGGGAGCTGGACTGTCCAGCACCTGGAAGTGCCGAGATCTCGTATTTGGCTTGGATAAATCATATAGCCTGATGCTCAGCTAGGGTAGCTGACCTTTCAGCTCTAGTGTTTGACCTATGTGCTCCAGCACTGACTTTTGAAAAGACCCCATCTGTGAAAGAACTCATCCCTGCCTGGCTGATAACTCAGTGGCATCCAGTTATTTGAAGGCGCGTTTCAATTTAGGAAGGTGAGTGTGGTTACTTGCATTAGAAAGTCAGCAGGTCACTTTACAAAAGACCTCAAATACTCTCGCCAAAACCATTAATGCTCCACTTCTATGGCACATTTTTAAAACTCTTCTCATGGCTGATCCAAATACCACATCACATGCACTGTCAGTTCATAAAACTTTGGCTCTATCAAAAAGATCTGGATAGACAAGTTACTGTGTTTTATTATAATATAACCTCTGAATTTCACGTTACTGTATAAGCAGATTTTCTTACCTGCTTGAGCAGAGTTGACTCAAGGTATTTTAATCCAAACTGAAAACATCAGGCAATTAAGGAACAAATTTAAATGATAGGAATTTTTACTTTGGTAAAGTCATCACAGTTTTAAAGACCTAGAGACCAGTGAAGGTTACCACTATTAACCTATGCAGAGTAAAACAAACCTCATATGGCCTAAAGTGAAAATGTAAGACTCAAAGCTTAACTTTGCATCGTTTGTGGAGGCAAGGACTTTGAAATCAGGGCTGCTTTGCTTTGATTGTGTAGGATTTGGCCCCTTTTTAACGTGTTACGAGGTTAAAGTCTTCACGACACAAGAAATGGCAGAATGAAGACCGTGGCAGAGTCCATGATCAGGGAGTTAAAAATAATGGTGACATTTTCAGTTAGGCTATATATGTTATCTCCTTAGAGTATGTACTTTTAGTTGTTTGATTTCAGCATCGTGTCTGAAAATAACTGAACACATTTATTTTCACAGTGAGGGGTCTATTTTCTCCTCAATGCGTGTGCTTTATGCCCATTAGCATTAATGGGAGTTATACACACACTTCCAGGGGAGAGGAGACTTAAATAGTCCATATAGATGTGCTCTTGTGGATCGGTAACCGCTGATTTAAAGACACTGAATTATAAAATAAAAACCGAAACGAACAACAAAAAAATATAATTCTTTCACTGTGATGTGATCTTAAACCTAAATAACAAGAGAGTGTAACCAGTTACTGTTAATGCACTTTACTCTTGACAGATCTAAATATACAAACCTTGGCTGTTCTAGAAGCTGAGATGCTATTATGGAGCTTGTATGTAAAATGCATTTTGGCTTATTTGGTCTTTTGGCTTATTTTCTGGGCAGCAAGTTTTCTGTATGGTAAAAGTTGATTTTAACAGAACATGGGCCACTGACTGTAGATTCATTCACGTGTCTGGATGATTGATAGTTAGAGCTAACTACTGTCTCTTTTGTACATATATTTTCTCGACAGCTTGCTCCCGTTTTGCATGCTTCAGTGATGTTACACAGTTGCCGCTGTCATAAATATTCTCTAACAACCATGTTTGTTGCTTACCTGGCTTACTGAGAATACCATTTGCACCTTTGATTGTGAAAGAAGTGGCTTCTTATTCACCCTCCATTCTTTCTTGTTTTTCCCATTAATCTCTTACAGGTTGTATTTTGTTTGCTTTGTGAATGAATAGATAAAAACAGTAAATCAGTGATTTACTATTTGATTGTAATAGAATATAAAGAAAGTTTTCAGCACAGCATTGGAGAGTCTAAAATTGTAATCAACAGGAGTTTATTACTGTACATTATTCTGTTAAATTATTTGCAGGACAAACTTGCATCTGTTCCGTGGTGTTTTAGATGGTTAGTTTTAGTCGTGCTTTTAAAGGATGATGAGTTTGGTGAAACTGGAGAAAAATAATAATAAAAAAAAAAGGTCTTTCCCGGGACCATCCTGGAAAGCTGGTTCTGCCAAAAAAAGCAGTTAAGTGGGACTGTCCAAACAGTTATCACCTCTGATGTTTCTTGCAGTGAAATCGGCATCGTATTGACCTGACTCCGTTACCTGACTCTGTTAGGTTCACAGTTCATGTCTCCATAAGCCCCGTTAGGGCTGTTTGCACACTTCCCTATTTGCTTTATAACGGATGTTAGTCCCGTATCTCATTTTCAAAAGACATGACCAGTGAAGGAGGAGCTGGCAACTGCCTAAAAGGCTGATGCAGTGGTGCCGTAAGGAATATCCTGTTGATTCTTGTAAAATAATTTGCTTTGATTTTAGCTGCCTTCAGCAGCTGTTCTGAGATGCTGATGGCTCAAGACAGAGAGAAACGCGCATTCATGACCAACTCTCACAATTTCAGAATGGCTATTTAGTCAATTATTTTTCTGCTAGAATAGGGAAGGGTTGGCACTTTGTACTCCTATCTTCAGATATTTCACTATAGATTTCATACAGGAAACATACCCAGTGTCTCTTTCATGCAGTTAAACTGCTGTAGCCTGGAGAGAGAAATATGAAACTAGGCTTTCTGTCATGTATTTATCCAGGTAGATTTTCCAGTAGGTTTACTTTTGCCATTCGAAAGCTCTTCTAGAGTGCGTATCGAGTTAGGAAATGTTTTTACCACAAAAGCAAAGCTGAGACTTGACATAAAATGTTTTATTTTAAAATCTGTGTTGA